GCAGCAGCAGCAGCAGCGTCGGGTGTGCGACGACGGTTGCTGTAGCTTTTGATGCACACTCCCATGCGAGCCCAAATGGCAAGGGGTGGCGGCAGGTGGGGTGGCGTCGGTCAACAAACACTTCGCTTGGCGCTTTCCAGTGCCTTGGTTGCATCGAGGAGGAGCCCACCAGCATCCACCTCCCGTCGGGCCTCGACGTGGCAGCGTTTCGGCAAAGGCCAAAGCGGCAGATGCACGCCCGCCCGGATATTCGAAGCGAGACCTGCAAGCGACTCTTCTTCAGGTGCATGCGTCCGGAAAAACCCGGGTTCTCCGACACGCCTTCACATGCACGCGCGCTCGTTTCGATCATGCATTCCACGACGGATATCAGACCGTGCTCCCAAAACATCCCAGCTCCGACCCCGATATCGCATCACAGTTTCGGCCTGTAAGGTGAGCAGCATCATCATCAGCAGCAGCAGCATCAGCAGCAGTCCGTTTTTGTTTCATGCGTCTTGGCATTCGTGCATGCCGCTGCAACCGTCTGCAACTGCGTGGGTCGGAGCCTCAATTTCGGTTCCGATTGCCCCCAACCTCCTGGGTCGGCTCCCTTTTTTGTGCTGGCAGCCAACCAGAGCTCGGGGTATGCATGCGCCGAAACATGCAGCAAAGCGCACACGGAGATCACGGCAAGCCAAAGCGTGGGTGGCAAGTTCTTGAAACAATGCCGAGTGCATGAAGCGGCGGGCGTATCCGAAAAACAAGCGAGGGATTGGCACGCAAAAGCGTCATGCCGCCAGCCGACGTGGGCATGGGCATGCGAGGCGCAAAGCCGGACCAGTCCCGAACGCTTCGAAAAGGCCGACAGCCAAGCGGCATGCCCGACGATAGCCGAGCAGGTTGCGCCGCACTCTTTCAACTGCCAAACCCTACAGTACTCGATCGAGGCAATCGCGGAGCCGCAAGCCTGCCGACACTCCGACCCCTTTCTCTCTCGCTCTCGCCCACTCTCGCACTCTTGCTTTCTCCCTGCATGGAGGCCTTTCCATCATGCGAGCTCTCCCTCTCTCTCTCTTTCTCTCCCTCTCTCTCTGGCTCGCTGTCTCTTTGCATCGATGCCCGCGTGCAGTTGCAATCCATCCCGTCCCAATCGAGTGCCGTCGGATGCTCCTCCGCCTTTTTTTTTCTTTTCTAATCCATTGCCTTTAGGTTACCCCAACATTCAATGCCATCTCGTGGCGCCCGCCCTTATGATGCCAGTACCACGGAACGGGCGAGGATTCGCGGGTTCATGCGTTGCTCCGGCCTTCCCACGCGGCCACCACGGGCAGATCACTCGGATCGCCTCTCTCTCTCTCTCT